AAGCGAGTGTAGTGGTGTCCCTGCCCATGGCAGGGGGCTTGGAACTGGATGGTCTTTAAGGTCCCATCCAACCCAAACCATTCTGCGCTTCTATGACCTGTGCTGCTATTTTACGGTGCCTGTTACACACTCATTCAGATGGGTTTTCGCAGTTCGTTAGGTTCTCTCTAAAATTACCAGTCAGACACCAATGCAGTTAAAGTTAGAATCTGACTATCACTAGCGATTCAAATATTTGCATGTGTAAATAAGATCTTCCTCACATTTTGATAAAAAAAGAATAAATAAAATTCATGTTTTCAAAGGATCACAACAGCATTAAGCCATGCTACCAGCCTGTCAGAATCCTCAATTTACTCCCAGAACAGTTATTCATATATATAGAAATATTAACCAGTGTTCTGCAGTTGAAGTAGTCAAAGTTTATACATACATTAATACTTTGAAGAACTATATATATAATTTCAAGAAATATATACAGCATGTGTACATATACACTATATTATAAGAAGTGTAGATATACACACTGTATTTTTAAAAAAAAAAAAAAAAACACCACAGAGCAGAAGTAGACAGGCAGAAAGATTCTTTGATTAGTCCAAGCTCAAGAGGAACAAGTCAGGATATAAAGAGCAGCTTCGGTGGGGTTAAATCTGCTTACCCAAGCCTGCAGAAAGCACCAGATCACCGAGTAATGGCTCCCAAATATTTGAAGCCAAACAATTCACTCAGCTAAACATTCTCAAAAGCCTCCTGCAGGTTATCTGTCATCCAGATGAGTAACATCGACTAAGGTTTGACATTTCTGCACTTGCTCTGTTGTTTTGGCAGCTTTTCTAATCTTAGTGCCGGAGGACGTTTTATAAATACAGAATATTTTGTCTAAAATAACATGTAGTGTGATGGTGGCTCATCTAAAGCACCGTGGTTTTTGTGAAATCGTGTCAAGGCTCCTCGTCGTCACGGCAGGCTCTGCTCTCACAACCCTCCCATAAATAAGGCGAGTGTCCCTGAGCTCATTACGAGCTCCAGTCCATGGGATCAGTTGCAGGGAAACTACTTTTCTCTTTTTCATGCAAACATCAAAGAGTACTTTGTTCTTTCCCTGGAAGCCCAGCAGTTATGCCAACCTGAAAGCAGCAATTAATGAATGACTATTGTCCTTAAAACATTCAGCGCACATGACACATGGAATAGTGGTAATTCCTTCACTTTGCAGAGCAAGTGGGTTGGGATGGGATCCACGACCATTTTTACACTGGCTGAACTCACATCCTCCACGCCATGTTGTTTCCAGTCAGGTATTTTATGTATTTTATATATTCTCACATTGATTAGCAGCTACTCAGCAGGAGTGGAGAGCCTGTACAAAGACACCAAAGGAGGCTTAGCATCAGACAGGAACAAATTCTGAAAAAAAAAAAAAAAATATATATATATATTCTTGGCAAAACGTGGGCTCAGAGATGGGGCTTGTTCCTGTTGGGTGCTAATGCCGAGGTCAGTGCTACAAGTCCGAATTTCATGGCCCTGTGTCACTACACACATGTAACAGGTGATAAATTTTCTATTTTCTGCCCTATTTCTGGATGTCCTGAAATTGGCTCCCTCTTTGACTCAGCTTGTCCCATGCTCCATACCTGACATGCAGAAATTCCCGCTGGTCATTCTTCTCACACTTTGCTAAGTGACTTGCTTGGGACTTCCTAGAGCTGCTCTGGATTTCTCCTGCCAGATGGAGGTCCACTCGCAGATTCCGTCATCACCCTCGAGTGCTGGCACGTTCTTTCTCTGTCCTGAAGTGGACTAGGCTATGTAGAGAGCATGAAGGATCTCAAAGAAAGATGGTCAAGGCCAAAACTGGACTACACTTTAGTACTAGGTGCAAGTGCTTTCTTTCGTTCTTCTACTTCCATTTTATTGGGGAATCGGGAGATCAGACTCATCAGTTTTTAATGATTTTACAAAGAGTATCGAAGATGAAGGATGATTGTGTTCAAGAATCTCTCCCCTTCTTCAAAGGCTAGGCAGTCATCCACTTCACCTAAAAAGCTAGCTGTGGAAACACTGTGTCTCACCCCAAAATCAGAGAAAGACTTAATATAGAAAAGCTTTCATTACTGCTTCAGAAAAAACATCCAACCAACTCAAAACTTTCTCCAACAGTGGCCATCAGGAGGTGCAGAGGGAAAAGCAAGAAGGCAGCAAGCAGAACTAACATCTCCCCTAAGCACCTGCCCAGCCTCCCACTGCTTTCAGCCAAAGCAGATGAGGTTTCTGTGGATTTAGTGACTTTCAGTGAATTTCTCTTCCAGCTCCTTGCTTGAACCAAACTGCCACTATCCAAGAAAACATAAGAGACAAGCTGTACACAGCAGCAAAAAAAAAAAATCTTAACTCTTTGCCCCCTTCCCTTATGTAGACACTGTCTTAAAAATTAAACTTCTCTTAATAAAAAATAATATGCAAGTGATAGAGTGAATACGTGAGTCCTTTCCTGGAAGGAGCTTGCATGCTTTAGGAGCATAAGTAAGTACATCCTGAATACTTCAGTGGATAAGGCTTAAGTCACTGGTCAAGTTTTTCCACATCTACCCAATATCTCAGACAGAAAAATGAGTCCTTATTCATAGAATGATTTGGGTTGGAAGGGACCTTAAAGATCATCTAGTTCCAACCCCCCTGCCATGGGCAGGGACACCTTCCACTACACCAGGGTGCCCAAAGCCCCATCCAACCTGGCCTTGAACACTGCGAACACAACTTCTCTGGGCAACCTGGTCCAGTGCCTCACCACCCTCAGAGGGAAGAATTTCTTCCTTAGATCTAATCGAAATCTCCCCTCTTTCAGTTTAAAGCCATGGACCCTTTGTCCTATCACTACACGCTCTTATCAAAAGTCCCTCTCCAGCTTTCTTGTAGCCCCTTTAGGTACTGGAAGGCTGCCGGAAGGTCTCCCCAGAGCCTTCTCTTCTCCAGGCTGAGCAACCCCAACTCTCTCAGCCTATCTCCATAGCAGAGGTGCACCAGCCCTCGGATCATCTTTGTAGCCCTTCTCTGGGCTCACTCCAACAGCTCCATGTCCTTCTTGTATTGGGTTCCCACGAGGTGCACATGGCACTGCAGGTGGACTCTCACAAGAGCAGAATAGAGGAGCAGAATCCCCTCCCTCGATCTGCTGCCCATGCTGCTTTGGATGCAGCCCAGGACATGGCTGGCTTTCTGGGCTGCCAGCACACATTGCCGGCTCATGTTGAGCTTCTCCTCAACCAACATCCCCAAGTCCTTTTCCTCAGGGCTGCTCTCAATCCATTCTCCACCCAGCCTGTACTTGTGCTTGGGATTGCGCCGACCCACATGCAGGACCTTGCACTTGTCCTTGTTGAATTTCATGAGGTTCACACAGGCCCACCTATCCAGCCCGTCAAGGTCCGTCTGGATGGTATCCCTTCCCTCCAGTGTGTTATTATCTCAGCCAAGTCCTCTTGACATTGGACAAAAAGGAAGAGTTATGAATTAGGACGATATTTTTCTGGTGATGCAGCACTAGGTGATGCACTGTTCCTCCAGAAGGGCTGAGGATCTCATACAGAAGAAAAGCTGACCTTGAGAAACAGGCACACAGGATGAAACCCAACAGACACACGGCCATGCTCTTCTGGGCAGGCTCAAATTTCTGCAAGACCCTCAGGGCTCTGTAGCCAGAATGACCAACTACAAGAAAGACCAGTTAAGAGTGTTGGTTGATCACTGGAAAACTATGAAGCACTGCAGGCATGAGAAACAAATAGGATTTTTAGGCTATTTTAGGCCTTTCTAACCGATGAATAAAAGTAATCGTGCAAGATCACAACAGGACTTGAGCCTCTTGAAGTTGTTCTTGAGACCTCCTTGCCCTATCTGCCTCATGGTTGTTAAAAAATACCACATTAGGAAAGAGCTATTACCTAGCATGAGTATCAATAAAATATAATTGTAGAATATTTTAGAGAGCCTGA